TACAAGCCGTCCTGTAAGCTGACAGATACAGAAAAAATGATATAAGGCTGCTGATATGAAGCTTGCAGTGAACAAGGTTGTTGTAAATGCTCAATGGCATGTTCATGGATATGGTAATATCACATCAATAATACAGTAATATCCCATCAATAATAGGGTCCCGTCAACTGGGGTGACTTCCACTGCATTTTTGATTTTGTTTTGCAAACAAAAGCAGGGTCATAAATGATGGCCAGTCACTTGGACGTTTATGACCTCGTTTACGACCCTGGCGTTTACAACCCCGTTTTTGTTTGCAAAACAAAATCAAAAACCCTGCCAAAGTCACCCCAGTAGACAGTAATTAATGTTTATGGTAATATCATATCAATAAAGGAAAAACAAGTAAAAATCACAGAAAATGTCATTTATTCTACCTCTACATCATCTACAATGAAAGAGGAAGACTTCAGAGTACTGTTAGTAATGGATGAGTACACTCTGCTTGCTTCAAATGTTTTAAAATGAAGTTTTATTCCAAGTGTTCTGAGTAGCCCCATTCGACGGGGCTACTTGGGACACTCTTTTTTTGCTTCTGGCACCTTACGAATAGCATATGGAATTATTTTGGAGAAACCATGTGATAGCCCTTGCAAAGAGCTTTGAAATGAGCCTAATCTTGTTTATGAAATGTTTCATGGTAAGAAGTTATGAATGAAAAATGTTCGAAATCGTCCTGAGTAGCCCTGGTTGACGGTAGTGCAATCACTTGACTTGATTAAAATTGTGTGAAATTACAAGTCGTTGTGTAGGCTTACAGATACAGAAGAAATGCTATATGGCTACTGATATGAAGCTTGCAGTACTGTAGACAAGGTCAATGCTCAATTGCATGTACATGGATATGGTAATATAACATCAATAATACTACAATGTATGGATAACATAATATCATAGCAATAAAGAAAAAATGAGTAAAAATCACATAAAATGTCATTTATTCTACATTTACATCATCTAAAAAGGAGGAGGAGGACTTCAGAGTACTGTTAGTAATAAATGAGTAAACTAAGCATGCTTCAAATATTTTAAAATCAAGTGTCCCTTATTACCCCATTCCCAGGAAAATTTGGGAGGCTTTTATATTGCGTCCAGCACCTTACAAATAACATATGGATTTTTTTTGGAGATGCCATACAATAGCCCTTGCAAAGACCTTTAAAATGAGCCCAAAGTTGTTGATGAAATATTTCATGGTAAGAAGTTATGAACAAAAAATGCTCAAAACCGTCCCTTATTACCCCGTTTGACAATATTGGCTGAGTGGTAACTTGTGTATCATTTGGCCATATAGTTTATTCTGCCAGACAGCCAGGGGCTCATGGTCAGAAGGCCTAGCAGCAAACAGTAATGAGGCAACTGGCAATGTACCAAAATAAGCTTTGTGATAGCTTATAGATGTGGAATATATCTTTTGAGCAGTGACCGGAGCTTTCTTGCCATTTTTGGAACTGTGAGACAGTGGCATACCAGAGATGTTTTTAGAATTACCACCCCATTTTTAATTTTTATGTCTCTTCAAGATTCAAACAATACCATATGTATGATAATGCTGGTGTCCATGCTACTCTACTGGTCTACTTGATGAACTTGAGTCTAAAAAGCCTCTACTTTGCCACAATGCTGGGGGGCTCCTGTTGGATTAAATGTGTATATACCTCCTATTTTATTGTTGATTAAAGTGCACAATTGGGCCACAAGATTCCAAATGTATTGAAAATTTGTCACTTTGAGGCTGCAAGATTTCCATAATAAGTGAGAAAATCCAACCCTGAAAGCTTAAAAATTTATACCTGCCTCTTCCCTTGTCAAAATGCACTTATGAATATACTTAACCCTATAATGACCAAATTTTTTAATTTGCATACCATAAAATGGGGTCTCTTAGACTACTTTTTTTAATGATGCCATTTTTTACTAGCAAAATTAAACTTAATTTGAAACATGCAAAATACAGGTTTATACTGTAGGTTCACTCACCATAAATTGCTGGCTCCTGCCTCTCATAGTTTTGATGTAAAAAAGTGATGGTCTTTGTTACCCCAGCTCTTGGGGTATCTTAGACTGGGTGGTAAAATCAATTATATTTTTTGGTAAAATAACTCCAAATACCTTTTTAGCCATCCATTATGATCCATATACTGTTATTGTTAGTAGGCTAACTGCAACATAAAAAAATAACACTTCAAATAGACAAAAAAGTTGAAAAAATCAAAAAAATCAAATAAATAAAAAAAATCATGAAAAAATCAAATAAATCATTGATTTTTGATTTTTTTGATTTTAAAAAAAAAATCAAAAAAATCGCCAACCCTGTTTCCAAGCCAGTCAATGCTACCCCGTCTTGGCTGCCATTAGGTGGTCAGAGTTCCCCCATTGGGGGGCGGCACCCCCCATTTGCAAACTATGACACTTTCCTAAAATTTGTCATTTGCATATGTAACTAGGAGAGTTCTACTACAATGTATCAAAACCTGGAGTTATTTAACCAAAAAATGAAAAAAATTGGAGGGGGTTCTATGACAGGCTTTAAATAATAGCTCTTTTTTGTGGGTCACATTTTTCATTTTTTAACCTATTAGATATGCATAATTTTTTATCTTTCTATTGTGTTACGTAGCCTCAGTATTAGGCCTTTAATGCCCATTAACAAAATTTTCTATGTCAAATAGTTTTTGAGTTTTGGAGTTTTTTGTTAAAAAAACTAAAAGTGGTCTAAGTTACTCCGGGAGTCAAAGTAACCCCCTTTTACAGTAGCTCATCCCCCAAAATATTGGCAGCCATTGCCGCAAGATGGGGTAATAAGGGACACCCCTCCAGGGTAATAAGGGACACCCTTAAACACATATTTACAATAGAACCTTGGTTAGCAAAAGTTCCAGTTAACAAAAAAAATCAATTAACAATGTTCAAAATTTTTTGACTACATTTACCTCATTCAGGGAAAAAATTTTACTGAACGAAAAATCAATGCATCATTGGTCAGCACAAAATTGTGCATAGAAGGTCACAGATAGCTTGTGAACTGGGCAACATAGAATGAAAAGTTATTATCCTAAACCATGATTTATTTCTCCAAAAAATATGATGGTTGTCACTAAAGTATTCCTTTCTGTTTCAGGTACGTTTTTATGATATTTTTTGTTATAGTGAATTCACTTGACCCAATTAAAATGGTGCAAAATTACAAGCCATCATGTAAGCTTATAGATGCAGAAGAAATGCTACATGGCTACTGATATGAAGCTTGCGGTGGACAAAGTCATTGTCAATGCTCAATGGCATGTCCATGTATGCAGTAATATCATATCAATAAAGGAAAAACAAGTAAAAATCACAAAAATTGTCATTAATTCTACATCTACATCATCTACGAAGGAAGAGGAAGACTTCTGTCTACATAATCTACAAAGGAAAACTTCAGAGTACTGTTAGTAATGGATGAGTACACTGCATGCTTCAAATGTTTTAAAATTGAGTTTCATTTCAAGTGTCCCTTATTACCCTGTTCGAAGAGGTAATTTGGGAGGCTTTTATTTTGCATCTGGCACCTTACGTATAGCATATGGAATTTTTCAGAGATGCCATACAATAAACCTTGCAAAGACCTTCAAAATGAGCCCAAACTTGTTTATGAAATGTTTCATGGTAAGAAGTTATTTACAAAAAAATGCTCAAAACCATCCCTTATCCGTTTGATGGTAGGTACTCTTTGCCAAATAAAGTGTATGCTTCCATCTACATATTTCAGGATATTTGCTAAAAAGTATTCTGTTCATTCTTTCTCCTTTGAAAATATTAGGTAGAAACTTATTTAAATAATGTTTCCTCCTTCAAAAGTAGGTTTGCTTCAAAATTTTTTGCCATATTACAGTCCAAAATATGTCTTACCCAAGTTATTTTGCATTCATAGTTCATTTATGAGTAATTTGTCAAGCAACAAATCTGATGATGCAATCCATTACTGCCTCAACTCAGTCAGGTGAGCTCTGATTTCTACAACACTACTCTTTAACTTTATTTCTAGTTTGTTTGTCCGTCTGCTACAAATCTTAGAATCTAGATTCAACACGCTTCTCCCTGTCCAATCAATCTGAAATTTTGCACACTTGCGTCTATGGTAGTCAGAGACAATGCACGAATCAATTGACAGAATAAATAAATTTGAAAAATTTCATTTTTTATTTATAAAAATAAAATTTTAAAATTAATTTTTGTGATATTTGATAATAAAATTAGAAATTCGTTGTACATGCATAACATTGGAGGCACTGGTTTCTTCAGAAGTGATGTCTTTAAAAAGCAATTTTTAAACGCATGTTACTACAACACTTCTCTTTAACTTCACTTCTTGTTGTATGTTTCTTTGTTTGTCTGCTAGTACATATCTTATAATCAATATTTAACACACTTCTCCACTCCAATTGATCTGAAATTTTGCACACTTGCATAAAGTTGGAGACAATGTATGAATCAATTTGACAGAATAAATAATTTTGAAAATTTGAAAATGTTTAGTTATATTAATAAAAAAATAAAAAAAATAACTTTATCTGCTACATATATTATAATCAATATTTAACACACTTCTACCTGTCCAATCAATCTTAAAATTTTGCACACTTGCATAAAGTCAGAGACAATGCATGAATCAATTGACAGAATACATAATTTAGCAAAAAATTTATTTTTTTTTAAATATAATAAAATTTAAAAATTAATTTTTTGAATATTTGATAGTAATAAAATTAGTAATTCATTGTACATGTGTAACATTAGAGACACTAGATTCTTTGGAAGTGTTATCTTTAAAAAGTAATTTTTAAGTGCACATTTTATTTATTATCAATTTATGAATATTTTGCTGCTTGCAACATTCATAAATTGCAATATATGTTGTCTTACAGTTGAAAGAAGTTTTTTTTTTGTTTTCTTTTAATTGCCAGGAAGATCTAAGATTCAATTGAATTTCTTGCATATTAATCAGTGAAAGAATCCATATATGACAATTTGGGTACATGTGTACAGATAGAAAGTAAAAATTATTGTGATGGTCCAAATTTGATCACTGGAAGCATTTTTAGCTTCCACCATTTTATATCTGCCATTACAATTAAGAATGTTGTATCTGGCTGTAAACATCTTTCCCAAGTTCAGGTTAAAATTTTCTTGAAAGCTTGATACTGAAACAAATATCTTTTGACCCATTCAAAGAAAAATATGTAAATAATAAACACAAATGCAGCCAAATCTAAAGTTTTGACTTGAGTATGTAATTGGGCTGTTATATATTAAAATGTTTGAAATCTCGTAAAAAATATATTTACCTTTTCAGTTTAATTTAGAATGAAGTAGAAAGCTAGATTGTATACTTCTTCTCCTCTATACCAGACATGCTATGAAACCAAAATTTACCTACAAAGTAAGCATTCATTACACACTAGAATGGCTTAGATCCTTAAAAATTTTAATTTTACAAGGAATATTACGTTTTGCACTGCAATATTAAGCAGATATAATTTTTGTCAATTAAAACTTAATCTAAAATCAATCTAATGTATGTTAATTTGTGTATGCTTGCATGTCACTGTAAATATATTGTGGCATTCAAATGGGTATCCATAATGACTACTTATTGTGTAGGGCTATATAGAAGCCATGGATGTTTACAAAAATGAGATTATTTTGTATTTATTTTTCTCCTGACATTAATAGACCAAAGAAATAGTTTAAAAAGACAATATCTTTCATTCAATAAAATATTGTGCTATGTAATAGCAACAGATTTTATGAAGTGGTATATTATTGAATTGACATTATTTTGATAACATTTGTTTTCCAGACAGAATGACCATGAAAATTTCTTGGCTACACTCCTCCTTCCTGAATCTTGCCGAACTGATGTCTTGGCCATCCGTGCTTTTAATATTGAACTGGCTCAGGTTTGTTGAATCCCCACTGTATTTGCTTGCTTTATTTAAAGAGAAAATTGTGTTCTGAATTTTAAATAGAATATGAAATTCATCTCAATTTAAGCAGGGCAAGTCATCTATCTCAAGTGAATTTGAAGTTCTTCCGATTTTTTTCCTAAATAAATGTTAAAAATGCTTCTATGGTATAAGAAGCTGGTATTACAGTCCTAATTATTTTTGGCTTTATATAGCTATGATATGAATATCATTTATGACTGCCATAAGACAATTCAATTGGTCAAGTTCAATTTTGTATAGGTACAATAAATATTTATACATTTCTTCTGATTTTTTGGTCTTTTGTGATATTCCCACCTAAATTTAGATTGGAGTGACCACAACCAGAGAACCTCTTGCGGGCATGATGAGATTGGAGTTCTGGCGTGAGACTCTGAACAATCTGTACAGTGACAGAGCACCTCCTGCACAGCCTGTGGCAAGACAGCTTCATCGGGTACCTCTCTAGGTCCTGAATTTAGGAGAAATTCTTATTTTCATATTAATTTCAAATTTTTGACATGTTACAAATTTGATGTAAAACTTACATTGCTTGTGAGGTTCAATATAATGTTGAAAAATCAGAAATTGATACCTAAATTTAATAATTTGAGTAATGTAGAGATGTATCCAATACATTTTTTAAGCACATCTGAATGTTCAAACTGACTTTGGCTAGAAAAGCAATATTATAGAATGAAGTTCTTTTCTTACAAGAAAAAAAGTAAGAAATAACTGTACTTTTAAATTTTTCTTATTACAGGCCATTAAGAAACATAGGCTGAGCAAGCGGTGGCTACGTCAACTCATAGACAGCAGAGATGAACTGATTCAGAAGCCTGGCTTTAACAGCATAAAAGAACTAGAAACTTATGCTGAGGCCTCAAACTCTGCTATTTATTATCTCACTCTTCAAGCTGCTGGTCAGTCACTCTTATTATTGGCTGATGTTAAAGTTTTGCTTGGTTATTTCAGGGAAAGAATCATTTTACAAAATCCTCTAATGCTAATAAATTTTTTTTAATCATTGACAAGTAAATATTTTGGGTCATATTCTATTGTAATGTTTTTGTGTTTACAAATGTAGACATTAAACTATTTTTATTCTTATTTTTCTACTCTGTTTTGTCATGTCTAAGCTGGACAATGACCACAAGTTGTTTGTTCAATATATATGTAATTATTTTGCTTAATGAAATTAATTTTAATAAATATAACCCTTTTTTTGTTTGTTTTGCTCAAAATTAGTCTACTTATGTGTAAGCAACTCAAGTTTAAATTGAAAAATAACTCTTATCTTTGTATTGATCAATGATATGTTTTTACAAGATTACCTATATAATTATAACAAGATTATAAGATCAATCTTAAACTGAACTTTTTTATTTTTAAATGTAATTATGTTGTATATAAACAGTGATAGATAATCTACCTCTCACAATAAATTTAGTTGGAGTTGAATCTTCAATTGAAACATTTTTATACCAATATAAGGTGTGAGCAGTGTAGATGCTGACCACTGTGCCAGTCATGTGGGCAAGAGTGAAGGAATCCTTCGTGTGCTGCGTGGGGTTCCTTTCTTGGCCTCCAAACGCCAGGTCATGCTGCCTCGACAGCTGCTTGTGAGTACCTGTTCTGCAAAGTTCAGTGTGTTGAAACTTATTGAGTTTTAGCTATGTTGTGATATTCAATTCAGGACCTGATTCCTTCTTGATTATCTTGACTTGTGTTAATTAAAAAGAGATGAAACTGAACTAGTTGTCACTTCTTGGAAAGGATCAAGGTCACCTGGAAATAGCTAGAACACTCGAAAAAACCTCTGCAAGATTTTAAACATGCACAATACATATTGCCTAAAATCCCAATTTGTTACTTGGCAGATAAAAAAAAGACATGTTGTCATTATATATGAAATCTATTGGATTGATACCGTGGCCCAGAAGTGAGGCGTTTGGAATAAGTTCATGTGCACTGTTTGGGGTTACACCTTATAATTTCCTTGTGTTTTATAGTAAATAAATATTGATCAGGCACAGCATGGTATATCTGAAGAGGAGGTCTTGCGTGGATGCAGGGAACAGAAGTTGAAAGAAGTGGTTTACGACATTGCCTCTCATTCTCATCAACACATCGAACATGTAAGTTTATCTTCATAGTGGTCAGCATCAATTTTAAGGCTTTTGAGCTCGTGAATGAAATTGAAATTCTGTTCAATTAACACCAAAAATTTGAATTTTAGTTCGTCATTATTAGCGTAGAAAAAGCAAGAGACGAATTTGCTTCACACCGTCATATGATATTCACCACATTGTATTTACCTGATTTCATTGTGTGAAAAGTACGCTTTTTTGATGCTCCCATAACTTATTTAATTTCATCGAAGTACTTTGTGTTATCTTTCAAGTTTTTGCAATCCTTTTTGTCTTCATTGTCTCTTTGACATCCTCTTCGTCTTCAATCCTGCCATTTACAAAGAATTGTGAATCAATTGTGATGAATGTCAATATGAGTCTTCCCTTGTAGTTGTGCTGTGGTAAAACTGGTATTAAAACATTCAGTGTGGTGTGGTTATCCTTTTGGAGTCGTGAATGATTTTTAGTCAGTTTTTTGTTTATCAGAAAGAGCAATTCCCCCAAAAAATAAAATAGATCATTCGTTACGGTAACAAGTCCCATTCAAACCATTAACCTTAGTTATTTATTTTGAACATAAGAGACAGAAAAGCAGATTTGTTGTATTGGTGGTGCAGGTCGATCGTTTAGGACCTCCAAGTGGTGTACATGATATCACTAAAAGTTTGGGTACTATTGATTTATCTATTATTTCTTCTTGCTCGAGCAATCCACCGAGAATTTCATCCTTCACTATTTTATTTTTCGCATTTAAAGTGTCAAAGCAAACTTATTCGTGGACTGACAAATATTTAAAGTTAAGGCTTTGAGGCTGAAACTGGAAAGTATGAACAATTTTGAGCTATAATTTCTCCTGTTTTTTCCAAGTTCCTTATATTTGAGTTGCTACGAAATCATGAATATATTACATACTGTCCTAATGTTGAAATAATCAACAAAATTTAATGCTAGACCATGGAAGATACTGTGAATGGGCAGGGTGGCCCAGTGGTTACAGTTCAGAGTACCAAGATTTTAGCAGAGAGGTGCGGGTTCGATCCCAGCTCTGTGCGCCAGTTTCTGATCCGAATCGGCAAGGAGGCCGGGCGGTTAAGCACAGCAGAATTGGAGCAGTGAGTTGTGAGTTCGAGACCGCAACAAGCTGTGAATGTTCTGCGATGTTAAGAATCGGCGACAGGCCTACGGCCTAATAAACGCTGAAAACGCTATTATTATTATTTATTATATGTAATAATATCATTTATTATAATCCTTTATTATCAGGTTGCTGGCATAAGAAAAGTATTGATAAAATCGTGATTAAAAACAAGCGGAAAGAGCATCAATTAGGATTATTGTTTGGTATAATTTGTATGCCAGATTGACTTTAAGATCTTTGTGGAAGAGGTTGGTATTGAAGATGTTGAAAAGCATGAATTCAAATTGAATAGGTATTGAAATCCATTTCTGCAGTGTACATTCCCCATCCATTAATTTTGAGCTTTTGGAAATTGGCTGAAAACTGATGAAATGAACTCAATTTTCCTCCTGCTCTTAGGTTTGTGGTAGAAATACAGTCATTTACTAGAGCTAATTTCATTGGGCCGAGGAAAGAAGGCAAAAAACATAAATTCATGTCTTCAATTTTTTTTCTAATTGCAATAAACTTGCGTATGGCGTAGATATGCAGGACTAAATATTTTCAATGAATAGTTTTGATTGTGTTACTTGCATTGATTAAACATTCTATCCCTCGACAGGCACGCGAGTTGTCTCACAAACTGACGCGTTCTGCTCGCGTAGCTCTGCTACCGGCCGTGTCGGTATCGGCGGCGCTGCAAAAGCTGCGCCTCGTGGACTTCGACGTCTTCCACCCTCAGTGGACCTCGAGAAGTTCTTCTCTGCCAGTCAAGTTGTGGTGGGCGAAACTGAGACAACGTCTGTAAATTCTTCTGTCAGTCAAGTTGTGGTGGGCGAAACTGAGACAACGTCTGTAAATTCTTCTCTGCCTGTCAAGTTGTGGTGGGCGAAACTGAGACAACGTCTGTAAATTCTTCTGTCGGTCAAGTTTCGGTGGGCGAAACTGAGACGTCTGCAAATTCTGCTGTCGGTCAAGTTTTGGTGAGCGAAACTGAGACAACGTCTGTAAATTATTCTGTCGGTCAAGTTTTGGTGGGCGAAACTGAGACAACGTCTGTAAATTCTTCTGTCGGTCAAGTTGTGGTGGGCGAAACTGAGACAACGTCTGTAAATACTTCTGTCGGTCAAGTTTCGGTGGGCGAAACTGAGACGTCTGCAAATTCTGCTGTCGGTCAAGTTTTGGTGGGCGAAACTGAGACAACGTCTGCAAATTCTTCTGTCGGTCAAGTTTTGGTGGGCGAAACTGAGACAAAGTCTGTAAATTCTTCACTGCCTATTAAAACATTGACCGCAAAATTGAGACCGAGTCTGTAAATTCTTCTGCCAGTCAAGCTGGCTGCTGTTTTGCAGGCTTCCACTTATCGGAATGTGTTCAAGTTATATTTCAGGACTCCCAATTCCGTGAACTTTGTCATCACGTTTGCACTGCAGTAGCCGATCTATTTATCATGTTGAAGTATTACGAAGTACGCCTATTGTTATTCATTGTTGGGAGTTGCTCTGTTTTAGAAGGATTAATTCAACTTTCATTAAGTATTTAAATTAATTGCCAATCATCTTTCTACTCATGGACTTCAAAATCTCAATTCCAGAATGTTATTCATAAGGCCTTAGTTTTATTCATTTAATTGAACGTTTAGAAAGCATCTTCACATATGATCCACCTTATAACTTGTGTCCATGAAGAACTTGCGTCATGTGCCGGTATACATTGCGGCATTGCCTAACTTTGCAATTGTACTACGTAATACAGTAAATAGTTGATGAAAAATTTATTTCACAAACCCTAAAATCTGATTTGATTAAATAGTTTTTATTTCTTCGGCTAAAGACGTGTGCAATTGAAGGATTTTTTGAAGGTTCTTCAAAGAATTGATGACTGTTTTAAAGGTTTATTGCAAAAAATGTCTTAGATTAGGGCCGTAATGAATTAATTATAAGGATTAATATACACGATCTAAACGTCAAAGTACATGCCTCGTACATCGCTGGGCATTTATGGCAAGATCATTTATGCGAGAGAAATACGACGATAAGGTTTGTGTGGGACGTAGCAATCCAACTTTATGGTTACATCAAAGTTGGTTCCCACGTGCGTCCCGACACAATTAATTCAATCACAAATGATACACCCTAATGATAGGTTCACGATAGTGACAACGAGGCTAGTGTCATTAGGATAATATAGTATCCGCGTCGTGCTGCACGTCTCACAAAATCACAATAACATTTTATGTGCGTTCCGTGGAAACTATTTTAAAATATTTGTAAAATACTACTCAAAAATCCTACTCAGAGTTTAGATACGAAATAACGGAAACAAAGTTGACATGCTTCATTCATCAATGTAAAAACTGCAACTGGAATGAGATTATCATGTCGCTTGTGAATACCGGAATAAACTCTTGCAAAGCAATTCCAAACTCTGCAGACAATCCAGTTTGGTTCATCCAAGAGACAAAAACAAACGGCAAACCAAACTTTGACGAATAAAATTTCCTTTGTGCACATCATGCTTTTGAGTTATGTTATCACTGTAATGCAAGGAGCAACAGAAGGTGCCAATATACAAATTATAATAATCAGTTTCATGATCATTCAAACCTTCATGTTAACCGGAGAAATAAGAATGACTGGATTACATGGGAAACGCTGAAGTTTACTATCAAACTTGATGTATAATACTATAGAGAATAAAAGCTTCCTAGTTCGTCTAGCTAAATATTCATATGATGGAAGACTGCGTTTCTAGAGTAAATTTAACGTACTCTAGAGGACGAAAGAAGCAGTCTAGTTAAAATTATCAATGGTGAGATCTAGTTAATATCTCAATTTAAAATATTAGGTTTAACTAGGAATGAATATATCCAACATTTTGAGTTGATTTCATCCCCCGGGTGTTGAATTAGCCACCATCAATAAGGCAATCAGATCATAGGACCAATAAATCAGATTTGTTCATATTCGACAGTACACAGTATACGACCTATGGCTAATAAGCATATAGATTGTTATCGTGCAATAATTTTAGTGTGTTTGACGTACTTATTCATCTATGCAGCATCAAAATATCACCTCAAATCTGAAGTGCAGTACATCGTCTCATCACCTCTGACGCAATGCTTTAAAATAGAGATTCTCTTACAGTAATAGGGAAATCAGGAGCTGAGCGTCGAACCGTAATGAGTGGAATGGCCATATAGAGTTAAGAAGAAACCACAAGCGTACTTGGGGTAGAAGTTAGGCGAAAATTTACATCATAATGACAGGATGTTTGGAAAAAATGTACATCAAATGACTAGACCTCAAGGTCAGACCTGCACTTAGAGAGCGTAGTATCTGATCCCACCAAGATAAAAAAAAAATCGTTAGAATATAGCGCCGAGTGTAAAAGAATCTCTCTTGCGTGCGCTACTTGGTTTACAAACCGTTTATTTGCGAGACATTTTTCTCATAGCTGCAAACACCTTACATAAATCAGTTTTAAAAAAACTTCGTTTTCAAATGCTAAATAATATTACAAATTAACTTTGTGCCCTGGCCCTTATCTCTTCGAACTAAAGAGTCTAGCAACACCTTTTTTCATTCGCAGCAACACCATTACACCTCTATATACTTGAAACACTAAGAAAGATTGTACTGTGTGCATCGTAATGAAGCCAGTGACCATGGTTTAATCAACGATTAAAATGTGCTGCTCAATCGTAGAAAAATTCATGATGCAAACCAAATGCACAATATTTTTCGCAATCATCGAAAGGCGCCTAACCGGATTGAAAAATTTTCAGAAGCATTTCGAAAAAGTGGAAATTACCTTCAATCTTTCTAGTTGAACATTATCCTAAATCGCCATCTAAGGTGATTATATTTCTATGCTTCAGTTAAAACAGATTGCGAAACTCATCAATCTCCATTTTGGTACGCGACCCGACAAAAAAAGTGTGGAACTGAACGCTTGATGTAAACTCTTAATCTCGAAGCCTAGAAAAGACAAATTTAACCGTTCCGTTTAACCAAGTTAGTCTTTCAATGAACCGAAAAATAAATAAGAGAGCGGCCGTTTTCGTAATACTAAAGCAAAAAAGAGAAGACAGAAACCCTTAAATAAATCTTTGGTATGTTAGGGATATTCGCCATGAGATATACGAACTCCGCACTTACAAATGCATCAACGTTAAATATTTAAAACATGTCCTTTAACTTTGACGAATATTCAAAGGAACACCGGTGTTGTCGCCAACACGATACAGCGGGAAATTGCAATATTATCTAAAATATAAACAAGAAAGAACAACATAAAGTCACTGAGGCACGTTCACTATTTTCCTTCTCGTGATGATTGCCTCATGATTTTAGTTGGGGGTCCGGCGGGAGCAGGAGTGGAGCTTCCGCAAGGACCTTCAAACATGGCAGCCATGTCACGTATTTTCCGCTGCTGCTGAGACACTGCAGACGGCTTAGATAGAGTTGCACTAGAGGCTACCTTACTGCACGAGGCACCGGCAGGTCGAGAGCTACTAGAAGTTACATTGGAAGACAACGGCAATTTGGACGACGGGAACGATTGCTTGAAAATTGGACTAGCGCTGCTACTCGGACCAGCCGAACGGACGCTGGTGCGAGTCGGTTTAGAAGGCATAGTGTCGGGTATCTTCGAGGCATTGAGAGACTGTTCATTGCGAATGTTGCTCGATATTAGTTTGCGACCATTTCCGTCGTGAGTTCCAAATTTGTCGTTAATTTTGTCAGGAAAGGATTTGCCTCCAATGCTACCAGATGGGCACAAGACATTTCTGACAATAGTTGTTCCATTTCCTTCTGGAAGGCTCTCCCCTTCTGAAACCTTTGATTGTTTCGCAAAACTTGCCTTATCAGACAGTTCGGCGTTGCAGCTAAGTGCTCTATTTACTCGACCATGCACAGAAACGTGATCAGTCGGAACTTTTGGATGAGCTGGATCGTGACTGAGGCCTCGATGAAAGCGAGGTGGTTTATCGCGAGTTTGGTTCTTATTCGTCTGGCCACCGAAGTAAAGGCCCGTTTCATACTTGGCTCGGGCATCTTTATCAGTAGGGCTTTTCGATGTGGTATCATCTTTTCCCCAAACTGAGACCAAATCTTTCACACTAACATCGTCCTTGTCAGCTACAATCTCTGGTCCTTTACGGGCACCGCTGAAACGCATGTTAGTTTGTCCTGTGAGAGGTGATGTAGACGACGTCGACTTGAGAAGTTTAAAAGATTCCGCGCACTGCGGTAAACTTCCTACTTTCGAATAACTTGAAGAGGTAGGGGAGCTATGTCGGTCCACATTAGTTAACCGACGCTCTTTCTCTACAAGTTGAGAAGTGGATAAGCGTTGCGAGGAAGATTCGTAGTCTTGTTTAAGCTCCGAATCCACACTTGTTCCTTCGATTGCACAGGTATTTGAAGAAATATTTTTTCCTTCTACGATTTTAGGTGCCGAATCCCTCGCGCGAAGGACGACTTCGTCCGCATCACGATTATTCAAGCTCAACACGTCTGATGGCTTTGGCGGCAAAAATTGATCAGTGCAAGGGACTTTTTCTGCTATGCCATCGCTCGCAAGGAATGAGTCGTCCTCAACTCGGGAAGGACTAATAGCCTTTTGTTTTAATCTTAACAGCATTTCATCTTTCTCACCTCGGAAACTCTCCGACTTGAATTTTTCTCTCAGAATCATCCTTCTTTCTTCTTTGTACTTTTCAATGCGCTCTCTCTTGATGGCTTCGTCTTCTGGCTCGATAAGAGCGTTTGTGATGTCTTTTTTTACAGGGCCGCTCTTGGCTTTGTAAGGTACATCTTCGGCCTCTTTGGACAGTTGTGCGCTATTGTCAACTGGAGTGTGCGGTTTTGGAATGTCTGGTGACGTTTTGTGACGCTGAAGAGATTGTGTTATTGGGCTAACGGGAACTTTTTCCACTTGAGAAGGATGCCAAGTTTCAGAATCAATAGGAGTATGTGTTACTTCAGTCCATACTGCTTCATCATTGAGGTCCGACGATATATCCGAAATAGGTTTAATAGACGTTTCTTGGTCTAGCAGCAATTCATTGTCCTCCTCGATTTGACTAGATTCCGGAGAACACTGAAGAGTGGGAGTGACTGGATTTGTTTCCATGTCAGTATCCATGAGCAATGGCTCCATGTCAGCGTCGTCGTTTCTTTCTCCTGCCAGTGCAGATGTGACAGCATCAGAGGAAGTATCATTCGCACAAGAAAATGATGCCAACAAATGGGAATTTTCTCCCGTAGGTGTCACATCTGGCGAACAAGATGATAGACTTGCAGTGCCTGATGATGGCGAGGTGGCCTGTGATGATGCTGGATTCGACTGCGATGATGAAGATTCAGAAGACTTTACTGAAGACCCTACACTCAAATGGGGTGAAATTGGGGTATGGTGAGAATGGAGAGCCTCTCTTTCGCCGAGTCCATCATTATCAGCAACAACAGGGACACTTTGAATAGGAGGCTGTAAAGTGGGGTTGTTGCATTCTGCAGAGACTCTGGTTACAGCGTCTATAGCCGAGGAGCCAGAAGGCGTCGGAGGAGAAAAGTTTAGGATACTAGTAGCCGGGGATCGTCGGAAAGACGGACTTGCAGTTAATAAAAGAGCTTCCGACGCGTCGGATGAAGTGACGTCATCTGTCGTGGATTCCGTCGGGGACGAGAAGCAAGGAAACACCAATACTTCTGTGGGTAAACTAGAAGATGAAGGGGTCATGGGGGATTCCAGGCATTCGGTATCATCTGCATTTTTCGATTCAACTTTTTTAAGGGGCTGACTATTTTGAATGTTCGTGATATCAACTGAATGTTCTCCCGGTTCCGAGTCGTTGTGATCGTAGGTTAATGCACAAGATACTGGAACACAACTCACGTTTCCAATAATTTTCATTGCTTCATCATCTTTGTCGTTATCGACAAGCAAATCGTTGACCTCTTGAATAGATCGACGCAAATACTTAACTTGTTGATAAACGCTTTCGCCATCCATATCCACACAGAGTTCTGGACTTGATTGAATTATAGGTGCAAGTGTTACCGTCGCTTCTGAATTGTGTATGTTGACATTTTCGTATTCAGGCTGCGACGTAAAATTATAAGCCTCGTAATCATCATCGAGTGCTGTTTCAAGAAGACCAGCTTTAGTGCCGCAAGAATTTAAACTTTCATAGGATTCATCAACCATCGCGTCATCTACCGACGAGGCATTAACGTCCGAACTATTCACGTGCGTTACTTTTTTCGGCAAAGATTTCTTCCTAATAATTGTATTGGTGAAGTGGGAATTTTCGTCAGCTCTGCTTGCCCCTAATTTCTCTGAAGAGAGGTACATCACATTTTCGTAGTTACCATCACTTTCTTCACCGTGACTCAAAATTGAGGCGCACAGAGAAGAATTTTTATCTACGTTTTCGTAAATGGGCACGTTTTCGATTGGATCATCAGCACTACTGCTGCTGATGTCGGGGGATAAAGGAGTTCTACGAATTAGAAAGTTGGACGCTGATGATGCCAGAGGAGTAGTAATCTCGGCGACTCCGTTACCGAAATGCGATTCACTGGGCGTTGAAGGCTCAGTTGTATCACTAAGGGGATGATACAGAATATCATTGAACGTAGAATCACCTTGCGGTGTTTCTGGTGAAGTGCCTCTCGGTCCAAGGCCAAGTAGGCCCTCAGTACTAGGGCACAACGAAGAAGGCCGGTGAGCGAGTTCAATACACTCACTTTTTGTTTCTCCTAAAGACACGTTGTCTACGTCGTTCTTCATTATAACATCACTACAGTTGGAGTAACCTGGGAAAGATTCGGCCATGACAGCAGGGACTGGGCTCACAGTCTTCAACCCAGTATTAGCTAATTCATCAGCCACTTCCCTAGTCTCAGTGACGCTTTTACTGACGGGAATTGCTATATGCGAGTTCACATCAGCTAAGACACCATTACTCCCACTACTACCAAGATTAAATGATTCATTATCAGAAACAGTGGCTTCAGCCAAAGACACGCTACTGTTTTCAGATGCCGTAGCACAAGGGGAACTCTGAATTTTTGTAAGTTTTGCCATGAGTTCAGGATCGATTAGAGCACTTTCAAAACTACGGTCTGAACGTGAATCTTCAAAGCTTGAATTGCCTCCTTCAATAGTGAGATCACTAGCGCTACTCTTATCATGTTCCGTAGACGAACCTTTCATTTTTTCCGCTTGCTGAGTCGAAGACCGATTATTTTCATCATTTGAAATAAAAGGCACTGATTTTAATTCCAAGTTACAAGGATGCCGTGAGGATGATAGTAGGGTATTTGACAGCTTATTGTCCTCTGTCTTCACAGTGGGTGGAGATTCTTTACTGAACCTGGGACTCCCGCTCAAAGGTTGAGATTCAGAATTTGATTCTTTGTTCAGACCCGTACAACATTCTTTCCGTGAGAGAGCTGGTGAAGCAAATTTGTGACGTAGTTTATCTTTAAGACTCTTCTTATCATATCTATTAAGATTTTCCTTACTTTTTATCGATCCAGATTCCATACTCAAGTTTTCCATATCGAGCGTAGAACGTGACAGTGATCCTTCAATAGAGGTAGATTTGAGCGTTTCATCCTCAGAAAATATTTTCATTTCTGCTTCACTAGTGTTGAAGTCAATATTAAGCTCGCTTATATCAATGAACATTTTTGAAGACTCGGGAGACAACTCGAGATCGCTTTCACCCTCCTCGGCAACGGCACCCTCGCGGGGCGCTGTCTTCCCACCGTCCCTCTCCAGGAGATTGAAGTAGGAATCGTGTGACACAGAACGATTGTGCGTCCGGGGTGATGGAATGGGACTATCATTTATACTGCCATTAGCAGCCGACGGATCATCAGTCGAACAATTTGTGTCCATATCCTGGCCGCGATGCTGACCAGCATATGTTTGCCCGTTGTTTTGCCGAGACGCGCAGATTTTTTCCGGAGTAGCAACAGCCTGTAAGGTAAGAATAATAATAGATGCAGAGCAAATGTTTATGCATTCAAAAAAGATAATGCAAAGAAACCAGACTATTAAAAATAATCAGAGTAATACGATATATTATATTATTGATTGTTAGTTGGTTAATTAACTGAATACAGACTGGCTCACATGTCTATTTGAACTCAAGTTGTCCAGTTAGCCATTTTCAACTTCACTTTTAACCACGATTACCATTGATTTCATAAAACCTGGTTCACAGTAAATCCAAGTTTTAGCAAAAATAACCCTCAATTGTAGTAAAACGTCGCATTAAGTCTCTTTAGTCGGTGCTCTGAAGTGGAAACAGGATCAAACCTTTGAGTTTCTGTTAGTTGATCCCCCTTGTGACGCGGGAGTAGACACAAGTGATTCTTCAGATTTGACGGGACGAAGCTGCCTGCCCACACCAGAAGCTGCGTCCACCCTCAACCCGCATGCCTTATTACCATGCCAGGGTAGGAGAAAGTTAGTCGGTCTCCAGGTAGTTAGAGGTAAAAACCCAAAGATGAATCTCAGGTCATGACAAAAATCGGGTTAACAGGCAGGGAACGAAAATATCTCATTCTATTTCTTAACTTCGGACCAGGTTTTTGAACGAGAAGACAATCAAAAAATGTGAAGGTCAGTAGTATAATAACAAGTTGTTGCAAGAAAACGACACCAGATCAGTCGGATTAGATCGAGGTAAATTTTTGCGGAACAGGAAACACGAAAAACTTAATTTTTCTCTGGACATGCCTGGGAATTTTGGTATAAGATGAGACCGAAAAACGGGGCACACATATTACTGATAGGATGATAGGAGAAAGAATTAAATCAAAGATTAAACTCAAGTTAGAGTCAATACTTTATTGAGATTAATGAAACATTGCATGTGTTAGGAACAATTTCCGAAAATTGAGAAAAACAAAATTACTGGAGTTGGAAGTTTAAAACGCCAATCCATATATTCTTACGGAAGCTGTCAAATTGAGATCAAATGGCGCAGAAATTTTTCGGTCGTGCTGTAGTTCAGGGAGGGTTTGTTTCGAGAGTGTGCGTCCTTTGCTGAAAATGTTCTTCCAGCCAAGCGGAGATTTTTTCTGCTTCAGACTTCCGCCTTTACGGTTCGGCAGCTCTATGACGGTGTGATAATTCTTGGGTAGAGACTGAGGTCCACCACCTGAAAAATGCATTTCGATTAAAAATATAGTATGCAACCTCCATTTCAATCAGATTGTACGCAACCTTCCTACATTGATGGAAACATCATTATTAAAACTCGGTATGTACCAAAAAGTGTGAAACATTTTTGCTCTTTATAATTCCATTTATTCGAGGCAGCAGGCAACGTCTTTCGCAAAAATTGACCTTCGCTACGATATTTAATGTTGTGAGGAACTCTTCAGCCGTGCGGTGTTTGCTCACCAACCATTTTAAGAATTTCGCGGGTAAACTAAATCTACAACCTTAAAAATCTGATTATGTAATTTCCAGTGAAAACTTACCAACTTCAATGTACTTCTGATCGGGCTTGATAGCGGCAGTAAGAACGCGCAGTCTGGCCTCCTCTATGGTGAGGAGCTTGGTTGGTGTAGAGATGGCCAGGCTCTTGGGGCGACTCTTCTTAGGTGTGCCAGCTACGTCAGTGAGATGAGTGCCGTATCGGATAGGCCGAGGTGAGGGTGAAGGTTTTTGTTCACAGAATATGAGCTCCACGTAACGGATGAGATACTCCGTCACGACTGCTTGTGTGCCCACATCCTGTGGTCACGAGTCCAGAGCATAAAATTTTACAACGATCATAGACTAGGGCAGAATTTAGTGCGATATTAAATTATGAATCATTTCATTAACGATAATCTTTTATGGAAGGTGTCGGAGAAAATTTTTCACCACATTACGTACGATTGTGACTCGTTGCAGTAACTTTGTGCATCATTGACCGTATACTACAGCAAAAAATGAAATGCAACGTCGAGCCAGTTAAAATATTCACTTTGTATTTCAAACGAGAATAATGAATATTGTTATGCTTTATCAAGAAAACATTCCTGTTAAAATACTTCTCAAAAAAAAAAAGCTGAACGAAATTCGGCATTTCTGTCGAAACCACATGTCGATCGGCAGCCACAATACATAGACGGCATAAATAGGTCCTAAAATAGTGGCTGGTAAACATAGGATTTTTGTCCCAAAAGAAGCAGTCTGACCTGCAGCGCCGCCACCCCGCCCTCTTCGAGTTCCTTGCAGCGGAGCAAGTTTGGTGCCCACACGATGGCGATGTTCTTAGGCGTCATGCCCGTCTCGCTGCTGTGGCACGCCACACGAGCCAGGTGCCTAATTAGGTACTCCAGCGTCCTGAAACATAAAGGTACTTTATATAATCAAATGATAGATAGAAAATCAACCGATTTCAGAACACTGATAATATTGTGTCATTTTATAAATTGTATTATTTAGCGTGGCTATTCAAGACGTAGTATCCTAGTAGCGATCCACAGATCACAAAACAGGAAAAATTATTGCAAAAATATTATTGGAACGCAGAAAATTATAAACTAACGCAGAGAAATTATTGGAGCAGAAAACTTAAACGATTGAAAACTGGAATTACTAAACGATAAACATGTAATTTCAATTAAGGGAAATTTTGATTGCAATATAAAAAGAAGTATAACCTGGAGTTAGGAGGAGGAAGTTGCCTGACGACGTCCCTGACGTGCAAGAGTCTCTCCTCTTCGCTCTGCGTAACGGCGGCGACGAAGCTCTCGTAGAGCTGGTACGTGAGCAGCGGGTTCGGCAGCTCACGGAAATACATCTTAAGCACGCTGCCCACGCAGTGGATGTCTTGCAAGATGCTTTCGTCACCGTAAAGATCCGGAATGCGGTCTTCATCGAACGCGTTCCTAGGAGAAAAATTATTAGAACATTTCAAACATTATGATGTAATGAGGTTCAGTAAGTAGTCCGAAATATATTATTTTAGACAGCATATTTAGGTAAATTGAGCATACCTCTCCGTATTCTAGTTTCAAGTGTAGAGAGGTAAGTGCTTATGAGCATACGGTACCTCTCCGTATTTTAGTTTAAAGTGTAAAACAGATAAGTGCTTATCCACATTTAATTACACATCTGAATGAAATTTAGCGATTTCCGTTCTACAGAACCAGAAGGTGAAAATCCTGCATGGTGGCTTAAAATAATTCCACTCTTCAATACTTTATATACAAACCTTAGCTTCTGGATATTAGAAGTTATGCCAGAGAGTCTGTAGATGCCGTCGACAGTTCCGTGGCTTTCGATGAACTCAGCACAGCACTTGAGCACCATCGGCAAGTTGTGGCCAGAATTTGACAAATGTTCACCCAAGTCGCAGCCAAAAACTCGTTCCTTCAAAATGCCTTGGCGCTTGAGCTTGCGTCGGGATGGTCGGGAAAGAATAAAGCTCCTGAAAGAAGGGAGAAAAATAAATAGAGCAGTGTATTTATATGAGCATATCACTAATGAAATGATTTAGGTAAAAACAAGAAATTTTTGATCCAGTTCTCTGAAAAAATAACAATGCCTATATTATATTGAAATACCGCAAACTTTAACCTTGTAAATCCTTCCTCCTAAAATACTGCTTAGTGGATATTTTTCTCTTCTTAATTAAGGTACTACTATTGTTAGAGAAAATTGAACGTGAAAACAAACATAAAATAAAATATGAACAGGATACAGGACAATCGTAAACCAGGCTGAAGAAGAAGCACGGTGAGTACCTGAAGAAAGCGATGAGCTTGCCATGCTTCCTGAGCACAGGCTTGGTAGGAGCGGCGGCGCGTCTCTGCAGAGGAGAGGACGGGGCACAGCGACTGCCTGCAACACCCAGGGGGTGCGGGTGTAGAGCCTGGGGCACCTGACAACAAGTTGTAATAAGTATTCAAATTATAAATCAATTAATACTAAGTATCAACATAATAAATCAATCAATAATAAGTATTAAATAATAAATCAATTAATAATAAGTATTAAATAATAAATAATTATTAATAAGTATTAAATAATAAATCAATTAATACCAAGTATTAAATAATAAATCAATTAATAATAAATATTAAATAATAAATAATTAATTTAATTTATTAATTTAATAATTTACGACAAACTGGGCAAGTCCCGGTTCAGAGCGAGACAACCAGGGGGATAGAAATGACTGTATGGTGCGGACATTGTCCCGGTTCAGTCGAAGTGGTAACTTTTTACCTATATCGTCCCGGTTGTCTCGCTTTACTCTATTTACCCATCTGTTGCAGGCTTTTAGCTCGTAACTGCTGTAGGGAGAAAATGAGCAAGATCTAACATTATTATAATTCAATAAAGAGAAAACACGTACGTTGTGCTGCTTTCATTGTTGTCACCACTGCCTTCTTCACCCTCATCTTCAGTGCCGTCATCGTCTTCGTGGGAAGGATGACTGGATGTCTTCTTTTCCTTGTTGCTGCAAGGAAGTAAAAGAGGACGTGTCATAACTCGACTCTCATTAATAATAAGTATTAAAATAATAAATCAATTAACCTTAAGTATTAATATAATAAATCTATTAATACTAAGTATTAAATAATAAATAAATTAATACCAATTATTCTACTAAGCCAGAGTCGAATAAATTATTTGATCAACTCAGCTCCCACACTCGAGGCACTAAACCATCGGATGTGAAGTAGCTTAATCCACACTTAAATAAATAAATTGAAAATCTGCTTGGTTAGAATATTAGAATAAGTTATTTAGTATGAATTAAGCAGAAATTCTGGTTCAAGATTTTGAGTGCGATAACGTTCACTCTAACATTGCATGCAAAATAAGACTTTCAAAACTAATTTATTTTAATTTTGGGAGTGCGAGTTTTCATTGGGATTTCAACGGGATGGGAAATATTATGAAAAACGATGTCGTACACGAGCGTTTTTTTATATTTTTACCAATTCAGTTTTTTCATACAGAGTTTCGCTACATACAAATAGTAGGTATACTGTTGATACGTCAGTTATTAACACACATCATAAGTTTGATAATTAGATACATGAAATTAGTTGCGAAGATGCAAATTTGTTACCTTATCACCGATGACTTGTACACACTCGTACGGGAAGAAGCCCACTTGAAAGCCCCGCTTGCCTCTCCACCAGACGCTCTCTTCGGCCGGAGGCATGTCGATCACGCTGATCATGTCACCAACCTGTGAGGCAAGATACCATCAACACGGGGGACCGAGGGACATCTAGCATTAATACCAGAGCAGAGGACCGAGGTACCGTACATATAGCATTAATACGAGCCCTAGAGACCGAGGTTTATCTGGCATTAATAACAGAGCAGGGGACCAAGGTACATCTGGCATTAATACGAGCCCGCAGGGGACCGAGGTATAGGTGCGTCTAGCATTAATACGAGCCCAGGGAACCGAGGTAAGTTCGGCATTATACGAGCCCAGGGAACCGAGGTACGTATTGCATTAAAACATTGATACTGTTCAAGTCAGGACAAGGCGAAAAGAACCATACACGTGTCGTGAAAAACCAACTTCAAACTTATTGATCAGTTGTAGGTCAGAAAATAATTACCGAGGGCTGTATGGTGTAAAACTTATAACACTTAATGCGATACTCAATAGACACCTACAACTACCATACTATAGAATCAATATGTGCACATTTGAATACATGTAAAGATTTCGAAACTAACGGCGTAAACCGGGCCATCCAATGACGAAGTTTTTAACTTTCTCCTTCGCGTTGCAGTTCAGTAATGGCAGCAAAAGCAGTCAAACGTAATGGGGGAAAATACGATGCGACCTGCGGCTTGACACTCCGACCAACTCACTTAAACAAACGAAAGTAAGCAAGATTAATAGTCGGCTGGCGCTTCGAATTGCCGCGGAAAACCAAACATTGTAACTTCTGAGAGATCAAGAAATATATACGCGCAGGGACTGTGCACATAATATGCCGAATGATAGTAAACGCAATTCGTCTATTAACTCAGTTTTACGTATCACACACAGCATCACCCCGTTTAACGCTAGTAATGTACAATAGAAAATATTATTAAATTATAAAGATTTCTGAACAATAGAAAATATTTTGTATTTTCTTAAATAACAGACACTTGAAGCAATTGCTTCAAAGAGCATAGAAAAGGAATCTTTACTCAAGAGTAGATACAAATATTATCAGAACTAACGAAATAATAGAAAAAGTGTTCCTAAGTAAGTAATTTTGAATGAAACTTTAAAAAAGGGAAAATGACGCTCATGGAAGACTCGGTGCACGGAATAATAATTATTCCGAAGAAAAAATCCCAATACTATTATTTTAATAGACATTCAAAGACGAAGTTGCTGCGGGATTTATGACTTACATCAGTGATTGCTAAACTCACATTTAATGTAAGTCATTGCTGCTCTCATTAAGCTTTAATATAACGTTTCTCGTACACATGGTCAAATATGTATCGGAATTAGGGCCATGATGGATCAAGCAGTACTTATCATGAGTCAGGCAGCGTAGCCTATTGTCATGAAAATCACATTATTACCAAGAACACGGGAATGTGAGGACATAAATGTCCCCCCGCCCCCCGGTCATCATAATTGCAATCGATTGTTAGGCCCAGTCCCTATATACAGTTCTACTCTCCCGCCAACTACTTAGCTGCGTGAAACATGAGCCAAAGAGTGTCGGCTAAACCAAATCATCATAGCACTATTTCAGAATTAACTATTTTTATGACTTCCGTCATAAAAATGACGACGATTTCAGAATTACAGGGATCTATGTAAACAGGAAGTGTCGAGAGTTCCATTGAGAAAAGCACAGCGCAACAGTCTAGTGTTCTCCAATAATCAATATCGTATACACATGGCCATAGCGCGTGCAGCTGAACATATCTAATAACGAACTACCTTCCAGACAGAGCATCACTACGCAAACAATGCTGCAGCCCGCATATCAAAGAGCTACAATTACCAAAATATCATATAGGAATAGCTGTACCGGTACTCTTGACACAAGTCAGGAATTATCTAGTTTATTTTTAGGGGTAACGGGAACGTGACGATATTGCGCGGCTCGTAGAATATATAATCGTTGTATGCTCGTACTAACTGTCTAACGCAACCACATAATATGAATCAACCTTAAAAAAACGAGCTTTACGAACGAGTTACCTTAGAACGTGAGCTCGCGGAACAGAAGTAATAATATACTTTATCGAACATCAGAGGCGAATCTTAGATAGCCGCAAAATCTCAGGCCGCTGGTTTGGCGACTTCTGTCTCCTTATTTCTCACTGTACAAGGATCCCTCGCAGTAGCAGAAGTATCCATAATACAGTGACATATATCGGTGGTCACGTTATCGTAGGCGCTGGCCCCGTCTCCATGATTTCTCGGACCGAGGGTCGCTCGGCCGTCCCCATCCGTTGGAGCCGCCATTACTCGGATCGTAAAGCACGCCGTTAATCGCAGCAGGCCAGTGATAATTTAGCGCCTCGACGCTCATGGAATTCAGGCAATACACGCGAAGCAATCGAGTGGGACATTATGAAAACTGGAGCTACTGAGAAACTTGGCGTGGTCATTGGGTAACGCGAAAGGCGTGGTAATGATCTTATAAATAATATATTTATTATTTTAATACAACGCACAAATAAATTATTGCGTTGAACTATAAATGAGATTCGTCAAGGAACCAATAGAGCAAATTGGGCGATGAAACTATTACTAACATGCCAGAAGCTGATTAATTACTTGGAAATTAATCAAAGTTCTAGTACATCCGCTTTACATAACTAATAAGAAGAGCTTGGTAATAAATTATTGATACCATACGCAGAGCTTATTTTAAATTCCCGATACCATCACCAGTCCTTACAAAACAAGGAGTCTATTATCATCGAGCCTAGGCGTATTTCTATACATTTGCGTTAGAAATATTGAGCAAAGAATGTACAGACAGATGCACATGCACAGGCCAGTGCATGGGTCTCAGTTAGTAACAGAACACCATCAACAGTTTCACTTCCGGTGGTCTTGGACATCCTGGGACCCGCCCGGTGCGTGGCACACACTAGTTGAATTAGGCATGTGCTGCTGCATCAACATATTTGCGCGGTACTGTTTCATTTCCCCGCAACAGGAATTATGGGTTGACTTTGACAGGCACATGCAAATAGATAGAAGAGGACAAGTCTTAATAGAAAACACTCGTAAGAATAAATAAGCTTCCTATCACTGGCAACCGAACAAAAAAACATTTACCGATATACTACCGAAGTATAAATCCGTTTCATTTGACGCCCAAAAATGTCAGTACAATAACCACTTGAAAGTAAATTAATCGCTAACGATTCAATTTTGAGGATGAGGAGACGAATGTCCTCAGACGAATCAAAAATGTAAATTAGTTTGAAGTTCAGTCATGAAAGAGAATGAGCAGCGATAAAAACTGACTTCAGCCCCAAAATATATAAATAATATCTTGATAATAAATGCAATTATTGAACACGTACCGTATCCATATTGCACCAACAGAACAAAAACGATAACAAAATCAATTCTTAATCTACTTATTCTCTAAACTATATGTTATGCTCGTTCTACAAAAAAACTATCACACACGAACAACATCTGATCCCAGCACAGTTTATCAACTCGTAGCAGGAAGGGAGAGCCAAGCAAGAGACCAGCGCGTCAAGAGCAAGGGTCGTTAATCGCGACGTCAGCGGCTGTGCAGTAATTTTTGTTAGTGGTTTGGGGGCCGCGCATGGCAGCGCAACCTTCGAACACAGCAACACCTCTGAGCACAGCTTCCGAACAGAGCAACACTGCTGAGCACAGCTTCCGAACACAGCGACACTTCTGAGTACAGCTTCCGAACACAGCGACACTTCTGAGTACAGCTTCCGAACACAGCGACACTTCTGAGTACAGCTTCCGAACACAGCAACACTTCTGAGCACAGCTTCCGATCAGGGCGACACTTCTGATCACAGCTTCCGNACACTTCTGAGCACAGCTTCCGAACAGGGCGACACTTCTGAGCACAGCTTCCGAACAGAGCAACACTTCAGAGCACAGCTTCCGAACACAGCAACACTTCAGAGCACAGCTTCCGAACACAGCAACACTTCAGAGCACAGCTTCCGAACAGGGCAACACTTGAAAGCAAAATTTCCCTAATAATTTCTTGGGAGATGTTGAATAGATCATCGGATCTTGAGTAAATTCAATGAGAAATTTTAACTGTAAGTGATCCACGCTGAATATTCGAATTTTCAAAGTATTCTCGAGGCAACACTTTCAGCTTGTATGGAAAGACACTAGAATACACCTTCTTTTTCGCTAGGCAAGTTACACTGAGAAACCCAAGATCACGTAAAAACATTTTTAAGTAGAACCAAAATATTCTGTCCAGGCAAAGTCTAGTTGGAATAGTTTATAAGCAACAAATTGACGATGCAAAAGAACCTGTCCGCTCGAAACAAAGGAAAGAAGAAGCCAGCTTAATATATGAAACTTCTATGCATGACAGTGACACTTGACTTTACAGGCGAAATGTTTATTCCTGTCGCAAATGATTCAGTGGCGGTGCACGAGATAAATTACATGGGAGAAGAGATGATTTGTGCGGAAGACAAGATTTACAACCGCAAGCAGCAAGCCAGTGAGCGGAGTCACCGTCACTACGCCCACGTCTAGTCACACCTACCGAGATCCCCCAGCTCTTACAAAGTCAGGAATATCTATGGACACTGAACTGCAGACCGACGACTGGCAGTAGCCGCCTACGGTTTTAAAATGAGACATAGAAGTTAGAACTGCCGTGATGGTAAACGAACCTCGCAGTAGCGGAGCTTTGCATGAATGTAAAATATAGAACGACTTTATTCAAGTTGCTCTCTCATTATTTATCATCAGTTACTCTAATGCAGTATAAGAAATAAACGTTATTGAGCCCAGCGTATTCACTGACGCCTTTCAATCAGCATTTAAATGCGGACAAATGTATTGGACAAAAACGTAATCTAATACTTCATAAAACGAATGTTGGCGTTTCAAGCAAAAATAGTAATTCTGCTTTGCTGGTCAATAACAGCAAAATAATGCAATAAAAATATTGCGGAGCAGCCGACAGTAAAACCTAAACTAAATGAAATATTTCGGGAGCAATTTTTTAA